GTCACGTGAAATAGTCGCCCCAACCTTTCCGTGATGATTGTGATTTCAGAACCAGTGTCTATGAGCAGCCGGGCTTGATGTATGGTTGATTGTACGATTACCTTGGCTACCGCAGTAGCTACCAATGTTATTGGTTGCTGGTGCTCGATTGCACTGTTGTGCTTCGTGTCTAGTCATGTGGTGTGTAGTGATTGGACGTTGTCGTTTGGTTGCATAAGTGGCACCCTCTCTTGACTGGGCATGGTTGTGGCAAATGGTTGCCCAGGCAGTTAAGGCATCGCCTTCTCTCCTTGATCACAGCCAGTTTCTGTGCGTGGATAAGCTGCTTGAATTGACTACATCTCGAAATTGGGTGCCGTTCCTTGCGATGAATGCATTGCAATTGTCTGTCGTTGACCTTTCTAGTTTGGCCTGGTGATTCGTGTGTGGTGAATGACTGGCACAATCTTACGAGCTTTTGTTGGGTGCATAAGTGGCATCCACTCTTGACTGGCCATGGTTGTAGCAAATGGTTGCCCAGGCAGTTAAGGCATCGCCTTCTCTCCTTGATCACAGCCAGTTTCTGTGCGTGGCTAAGCTACTTGAATTGACTACATTTCCAAATTGGATGCTGTTCCTTGCAATGAATGCATTGCAATTGTCTGTTGGCGACCTTTCTAGTTTGGCCTGGTGATTCGTGTGTGGCGGATGACTGGCACAATCTTACGAATTTTTGTTCGGCGTACGGGGTCGAGCTTGTTTGTATGGCGATTGGATTCCTTGTCTCCTTGCCATTGTTACATTTTCTACTTACTTAATTAGTATTTTCTTGCGAGGAGAATGGTTTATATGTATTAGTGTTGATTGTTCTTGCTCCTAAGTGGGTCTCATCATCTGAGTTAATTTCAACAATGTGTTTGTTGTCCCAACCCTTGAGTATCTCAATTCGATGTTTGTTTTGCGGGATTTATAATTATTTAGTTGTTCATCTATCCGTAGACATATTGTTCTGGGGTAGAGATGTTGCTCTTGGGCTTAGATTTTGGTTTCCGGTCTAGTTGTCCGGTGTGTGATGATGAGGATGGCGTTTTTGGATATATATAATTTGTGATTTTTGTTGCAGTAGATACGTAGGGAGTGAGATTGATTGTGATTCCAATGCTTTCCTCCTTTTTCGTTCGCCGTTGATCGCTGATATATTCTTCAGCTTTCGTTCATTAATGGTGAGTTTTTTTAAACGGTCTCACATCCATAATTTGTGATTATTATTGCAGTAGATACGTAGGGAGTGCGATTCATTGTGATTCCAATGCTTTTCGTTTTTCCTTTTTCGTTCGCCGTTCATCGCTGACATATTCTTACGAATTTCTTAACGGATGTGTGTGATTGAGATTGAGCTTGTTGTTTTCTTATTTCAGTAAAGTTGTCTACTGTGGCTACTTGAACTAGTGTAAATGAGTTCAGTTGCGCGAGACTTGGGTATGTAGTGGTGCTCGCCAGTGATCGTTCCCATGTCATTTCTGTTTTGTCGTTGACGTGAGTTAAGGCTACGTTCACTGTAATGGAGTTTCCTGCAGTTGGGATATCGTGTTGTGTTGATGCCTCCATGTCCTTTAAGGATCTTGGAATAGTTATGTCGGGAAGATCAACCATTTCTCATGGATTTACTTGTTTGTGCCTTCTCTTCAGGCTTGGTAATTTTGCTTGTTTGTGTCGATTCGCTTAATTCTCGACACGGCTTTCTGACATTCGCTACTACAGTAGCATATGATGTACGCTCTTCTTCCACTGCGCCCTTTGTACAGTACTCGTGATTGACACCTGTCGCTGGCCAGATGGTTTCATTCGAGTTATATTCCATTGCGAATGTCTTATGTGATTGATTCATCCATGGTGTCTTCCATAGATGGTATCTAATACATGTTGGAGTTTGTGCTCCATGTGTTGAGACTATTGCTTATCCTCTTTAGTGAGGTTTCAATTGGTAGTGTCGTGTCACCCAATTCGTGGCACAGTTTCATGATCAACGCTGTAGCCGCGCTGAGACTATTGCTTATCCTCTTCAGTAAGGTTTTGATTGGTTGTGTCGTGCAACACAATTCGTGACATAGTTTCATGATCAATGCCGTGGCTGTGGTGTGGCAGATGCACTCTTCCATCATGGCGTGCTTTGTGAAATACTCGTGTGATGCGCCTGACGATTGTAAGCTACTTGTAATGAATTTATGTTCCGTCATGAATGTGTTGTGTATTTCATCAATTGCGTGTTTTACTGCTAATGTTTCTGGAAGGCTTATTGTTGCCTTGGCTGCATTCAGGTTGTCAGTTAGTGCTCGCATCGTCTTGATTCGGGTCCATTGAGATTGGGCCGTCAGAATTTGTTCGCCAGTTAACTGTTCCCTGGTGATGCTGCGCGTTGTAGCACTTACTGACTCCTTGATTTCCTTCTTGTCATGAGTAGACATGTTGATATTATAGAGCAGTAATGTTTTACTTACAGTAGTGAAGAATCTCTCTCATACTCCATGATCTGCTTACTGTATTATTATCCTTATGACTGGTAGTATTGGATGTATGCACTGATTTTCACTTATCCGGCTCGAAGGACCAAAAAGAAAAAAAAAGAAAAAAGTTCAATAAAACATTTTCAATGATTGTTCATTTTGCTTCAATTTGTATTCTTAACCATATCATATTTTATATAATGATCAATATTACAATAAAACAAATTAATTATTATATTTTTGCGTTACACTTTTAAGTAAATAAAGTTTCTCGTAATTTGTTTCCATAACATAAATCAATCATTTTTAGACTGTTTCTTTTTTTTTCTTTTTATAATATGCTATTAGAAATTATGGTAATTGAATTTATATTTCTATATTAATGGTGGTGCGAGACTCGCGCTGATAAGGGGCAGCGATGGTGCCGCCTTTGCTGCTGCCGAGAAGAGCTGTAGCGGCCTGAGGGGGGGCTGTGTGACGTCACTGGTAAGGGGCAGCGATGATGCCGCCTTTGCCGCTGCCGAGAAGAGCTGTAGCGGCCTGAGTGGGGGGCGCCTGTGTGACGTCACTGATAAGGAGGCAGCGTGGATTTGCCGTTACCGCTAGCGAGATGCACGCTGTAGCAGTCTAATGGACGGAGGATATCCGTGTCACATCACTGCTTGACGGGTGGGAGGATTCCTCGTACCGTATACCACGTATTAGTATTACTGCTTACTTAATTGATGGGAGCCGTGTATTAGTGATCCGTAAGAACGTGTGTAAAAGCGTAGCTTACGTGTGTGTAGTCGATCTTAGTTGCAATGATGGTACGTAAGAACGTGTGTAATAGCGTGGCTTACGTGTGTTGAGATCGATCTCTGTAGTAGCGTTGGTACGCCGGGTGAGCTTGGATTCCGTTGAACTGGAGTCGATCTCTGCAGCGTTGGTGGGCCGAGTGAGCTTGGCTTCCGTTGGGCTGGAATCGATCTGTGCAGTGATAGGTGGCCGAAACTAGCTTGGCGTACGTTGAGCTGGGTTCAATCTGTAGGGCGGCGATCTGATCTTGATGAATGCTTGATTCAACAAGTAAGTGAGTGAGAGCGTCAAGCGCGTCTCCTGAAATATCCTAGTACAGGCTTGCAATTCCGGTGAATTCTGAATCATTCTTGTCATACTACTTGTTAGAGTGACGTCACTAGAGTCGACCCTTGGAGAGTTCGTCGGCCCTTGTTAGTCGGAATTGTAATGTAATATTCAATTAATTTGAGTAGTGAGGTTTCCCGATTTCGCTGAATTGTGTTTATAACTCGGTGAGCAAATGTTTTTAACTAAGCACATGTGTCTTTACCTCTCCCACTTTGTTTACCGCGTAAAATTGCTGTAATCCGTAACATATACCAATATAATATTTTGGTAAATAAGACATAAATAGAATTTATTCAAAGTGTATGCATATTAGAGATATTGTTCAAAAAAAGATAAATAGTAAATTAGTTGAATATACACAACAGTATATATTTTTAGACATAAATATTTGTTTTAATATGTAATATTTAATCTTCATTCCAAATTATTTATTTTTGCTAATCATACTTCAGTTAAAATAAATGTGCACAATTTTTGATAAATAATATTTACATTATATGAATAATACATAGTAACTTCCTATAATAAATGTTTCTAATAACAAATCCATTTCCTAACGAGTAATGAATAATGAATAATTTACTATATAGACTAAAATATGTTGTATTGTTCATCATAACAAAGAATAAATAAAATTTGTATATCATAAAATAATAAATATAAAATTCAAATAAAAATATAAAATAAAAATTTTAGTCTTATAAATAATTATATAAAGAATTATCAATGTATAATGGTTTGTATATTTTTATATAAATACATAGAACATATTTATAAAATACTTACTGTAAACTAGGAGTCTTTTTTAATATTTCAGATCCCTCATCTTCAAAGCTTGTTGCACCCCAGCCAGTAACAATTAAAGACATATTCACTAATTGTTGTAGATTTGGAATTGGCTTAGTTTGAAGACAGATTGGCATAATATTTTTCGAAATATTTATAGGCCTCTTTAACTTTAGAATTGCAATATCGTAATAGTTCATACTTCTTTTATATTTAGGATGAGAAATTATTTTATCAATTGCGATATGTTGCACATATTGTGCATTATCATTCAAATGAACAGTACCTAGTTTTACCTATTGCAATTAATTATAAATATAAAATCTATTTAGAAATTATAATACAACAACAAGTATATTTGTATACCACTATGAAGTACAATAGTAAACGCATATTTATAATTATTGTAATGTAATAATATACAATTTTTCTTAAAACCATCGATATTGAATAAAAAAATAAGATCAAATTAAAATTGTGCATTAAAAAAATTTATTTTTTTTTTAAGAAAATAAGTGTTACGGATTGCAGCATTCACGCGGTAAATAAAGTGGGATACGTAACGACACCTGCTTCGGTCAAAACATTGCGCGCCAAGTCGTAAACACAATTCTCCGAAATCGGGAAACTTCAATACTCAAATAGTCAAATTTTCATTACAATTCCGACTAACAAGGGCCGACGAACTCTCCAAGGCTAGTTTTTAGTGACGTCACCGGCATGACAAGAGCAATCTAGAATTCACTGGAATCGTAAGCCTGTACGATAATATTTAAGGAGACGCGCTTGACGCTCTCGTCCTCTTACTAGTTCAATCAAGCAGTCATCAAGATCGGATCACCGTTCCACAAGTCAATATCAGTTTCACAGAATTATCTCCAACCAACTCGTAAAATATTCGCATTCGGCTCACCACCACCGCACGGGCCAACCATCAACACGAAAACTACGCCAGTACACGCATTCCTACGGATCATCAATACACAAACCAAGTAAGCAGCATACCAAGATAACAAACACACGCAAGCTACGTTATTACACGCGTTCTTGTATACTATCAATTCTATCGAGATCGACTCCAAAACACGCAAGTTACGTTATTACACGCGTTCTTGCATACTATCAATTCAATCGAGATCGACTCCAACACACGCAAGTTACGTTATTACACGCGTTCTTGCATACTATCAATTCAATCGAGATCGACTCCAACACACGCAAGTTACGTTATTACACGCGTTCTTGCATACTATCAATTCAATCGAGATCGACTCCAACACACGCAAGTTACGTTATTACACGCGTTCTTGCATACTATCAATTCAATCGAGATCGACTCCAACACACGCAAGTTACGTTATTACACGCGTTCTTGCATACTATCAATTCAATCGAGATCGACTCCAACACACGCAAGTTACGTTATTACACGCGTTCTTGCATACTATCAATTCAATCGAGATCGACTCCAACACACGCAAGTTACGTTATTACACGCGTTCTTGCATACTATCAATTCAATCGAGATCGACTCCAACACACGCAAGTTACGTTATTACACGCGTTCTTGCATACTATCAATTCAACCGAGATCGACTTCAACACGCGTAAGCTACGCTATTACACGCGTTCTTACGGATCATCAACACACGAACCAAGTGTGCAGCATATCAAGATAACGGCATCATTGACCAAAAAGAGTGACATCACAGTATCGCTCCCCGATCAACGCGCCTCCGAGGCCGCTCCAGCTTATCGGCAGCGGCAGCCGGCGGCGCCAAGACCTCTTCCTAAAGAATGACGACACACCAACGTTCCCCTCTCACAGCATCCCACAAGTCGCTCCAGCTTATCGGCAGCGGCAACCGGCGGCGTCAAGACTCATTATCAGCACATCTCATTCCATCACTACGAATTACAAGCAAGAATTGAATCACGCGCACTACCACGAATACACGAACAAGACTAGTTACTGATCACCCAAAGAAACTCTCGCCTACTCATTGCATCCTACCTCTAATTCGCTTCAATAGATCACTGACTATTTATTATATTATATTTAATAAAGGAAATTCAATTCATACAAAAGGCCGTATTGAATTATTGTCCATTCCACTTGCCAGCAAGCCTCCCTTCAACACCTCAGGGAAGCTTTAGTCTGATCTCAAACAATAAGTAAATTACTCTTAAGAATATTGTAAAAAAATTAATTACTTAAATTTGAAGATTTTTAGAAAAGATTTAATTAATAATATTCATAAATTATCTTACTAAAAATAAATTTCTTTTTAAAATATTTAATTAAAGTGAAAAAATTTGTGTATATCTTTAAGTGAATCTAAAATAAAAGATAAAATATTTATTTAAGATACATGTAGTTAAAATCTAAGCTTATCAAATTTAAATAAATTATTATAATAATTATCTTTATTATTTATATTGCTATTATTAATATTTATTAATTAATATTAATTATTATTATTATTAATAATTATTATTACTAATTATTGTCTCAATTTGTGGCGTTCAGAGAAATAAATACTTTAGTACTACGTTATTTTTGTAGAAGAAAATATAAAAATTTATTCTTTAAAACTATTTATATAAATAAAAATATTCTTAACTATTTGGAATTCCAGCCGCTAGAATGGTCCGAAGACCAAGTTGGTTGGACTAGACCGTATTACTGGTTTAATGGCGGAGAAGGGGGGACGAGTGAGAGGTTCATGCATTAATTCAGTGTAAACACAATTGGTTTTAATGACTTTTATTTAAGGTTATGTTACATTGGTAGTTGTTGTTACCGATTGTTGTGAGAATTGTTGAACTTGTCGTGATTCTAACAGTTGGCAATAAACTGTGGAACGTCGTGCTGGAGTTCACGGAGAGACTAATCTTTTTGTACTGTCTTTTTGTACTTGCTTTATTGTACCAGCGAAACATAACAGTAACTGTCGGCGCTTTATTGTACCAGCGAAACGTCACAGTATCTTTCGGCGCTTTAATGTACTAGCGAAACGTAACAGGAATTATGGGAGCTAATCTCTATCTGTCGGCGCTTTAATGTACTAGCGAAACGTAACAGTAATTATAGTATGGCTATGGCTACTATACAGTATCGGCCCTCTTCATCGGTCTGACAATAGTTGCAGAGGCCTTACCGATAATGGTGGCGCTGAGCCGTAATAACAACGAACGATGATAAATAGCTTGCTGGTGATGCCAGACTATGTCGTCACCCTCAATGCGGTCTGACTAGAATCAAGTTGCGGAGGGCGCACCGATAGCTAGCCAGCTATAGGTAATAAATAATGTAAACAAATAAGTATACCTTACACGGATTCACTTAGACGAGTTCCACTTTCACTGGTATAACTGGCACTAATTTCACTTGACTTACTCAACAGAACTGATTTTCTTCATCGTCTGTTGCTTCTTATATATAATTTCGTACATTTAGAGTTTGCAATTCTTGGAAATTCTGTGAAAATCTCAGAAATCAAGCTTTAGTAGCTTCGAGAATCTTCCTTTGTCGCTATGCGGATACAGTATAAGGCTTTAAATACATCGCGAATTTTCGTAGCGACTACTTCAAATATTACGCATTATCATCAATTTAAATTTAATGGAATCATATTAAACATATATTGAATAAAGCAATAAATTTTAATTTCTGGGTGCTTCAATCCTGAACATTAACTTAAATATTTAAATAATTTGATTTTAAATTAATTTTAGGAACAAAAAATTTATGAAAAATATAAAATTTTAATATATTATCTTATATATTCAAGTATAAATTTATGACATGAAGTAAATTATTTTAGGTCTCTATTTCCATTGATTTAAAAATATTTATTAATATTTTTTATGATTAAAATACCATTATTAAATATTTTTTGAATACCGGTTAATCTTTATATTAAAATTTTGTACATTTGAATGAATTTAGTTTAAAAGCTTGCACCTTTATTGTAAAATTGCCAAAAAAAATTATCCTTTAAGTTAATATAAAGTATTATTTAATTAAATTTCGTATCTTAAAAATACATTTTTGGAATTTTCATTATAATTATTTCAATATTTTTATTTATTTAAAAAATATGAAATATCACATTATTTAACGCTAGAAATAAAATTCGGAAAATCTTATAAAATTTGGGTATTTATTAAAACTATATAATAATTTCTTTTATCAATTTTTGTTATTTTTATAAAATTTTGATTAAATATAACATTTCTGTTAAATAGTTTACAAACTTTTTATTTAAAGATTTAGTTTGAATATTATTTTCAACGAATATTTATATATTTGTATAGATTTTTAAAAATTTTTACAACTTCTTAAACATTTAATTTATATAATTAAATTTTCAACAAATATTTACATCAACAAAGTAAGTTAAAAATTGTTTACTAATATTATTATTAAATATACATACCTTTCTAAAATAAATTTTTCTAAATATAAAACCTATGAATTTATAGAATAATATTTAATAATGGCTTAATTAGTTTTGCTGTAACTCAGCTTCAATCAACAATTTCAATTAATTTGATTAGGCAGTAAATTTTTCGCAAATATAATATTTATCTTGTGACGAAAGATTTAGGATTCTTATATATATATATATATATATATATATATATATATATATATATATATATATTTAATATCTGTTAATTAAATTTATAAAAAAAAATTTAATTAATAACTAATTAAGTTAGAGCAAAATAATAAAGTAAACTTACCTGAACAGGTACGAAATTATTTATATTGTTAACACAATGAGCTGCACTTAAAATGTATTGATTAGAAATTAATGTACCGCCACAATTGTATTTTATAAGAAAACGATTTTTGTCATCCACAAGGTATCCTAACGCTACCATATATGGAAATTCTCCAGCTATGGCAGTTATACCACCAAAGATATTAGGTTTTACTTTTTCATCATTCAGATAAGTAATATTTTCATATTGATGGCAAGCTATAAAAATAATTTTCATAGAAATGTATAGCGTAGTATTTAAAAATATATTTTTCAAGGAGTATTTAATTTACATACAAAAATGCAATTTCAATTGTGTAATTAACATCATAAAATGTAGACATACTTTTTTAGAGTGAGAAAATATTTGTGACTTGATAATAAGAAGCTAATACAAAATATTTTTATCCATACTATTGCAAATAATAATTTTGAATAAATGTATTATAACAGGGATATATTTTCATTTTTTAATATGTTTTGAGTAAGTATTGAGTAATAGCTTTAATCGCTAATTGATTCAA